CTACACGGAGAGAGGGAAGGGAGAGGAGCAGGAGCGAAGCAGGGAGCTCCCCAAGGTGGCTGGGCCTCCGTCACGCGCCTAATTCTGCCCTCGTCCTCCCATCCCACCCCATCCCAGCGCCCTCCAGCACAACGGCAGCTCAGGGGACGTTCGGCTGCGGCCCCCCTGGGCGGCTGGAAGGGGCCTCGGTGCCCCACACTGAGCGCAGGGGGGGCTTTTGTCTCCAAGTGCCTTTATGAGCCGAAAATATGTGGCCAAAGGTCCCGGTATCTCCGGATGGAATCTCCTGGTTCCTCCTGGTATCCCAGTATCTCGTGTGAAGGCGGCTTTATGAAACGCTGCTCCCCCCAGGATTTTCATTGTAATTTTACAAGCTCATTATATGCAAACACACCAGCAGATGAGGAAAAAAAAAACTTTCCACAGGACACTTTCTTTTTAATTCCATTACTGCTACGTTAACTGCCTACAAAAACTTTTGACCACTAAATACCTGCTGGGATATTTTTAAGGCAAAACAGCTCTGCACTAGCCCCAGCAGGGACTGTTCAGCCCAGCAGTAGCTCATTTGTTCCTCAGCTACTCCTTCCTTTCGCCCCAACACCCTTCCCCACAAAATCGGTGTTACTGGAAAGGAGGCGCCTTCCCAAATGAGGCTATTGACAGATTTTAAAGGATTTCGATCGAGCAAGAAGTGCTGGAAGGAGCTTTCCTTGCTGCTTTACTAACCTTTAGATCAGCAAGGGGGTTTCTGCCTAATCGAGAGCTATCAAGGGGAGCAGCTACCCGAGGAGGACTAAAAAGGGCTGCAATCTCATAAAGGGTCACTTTGTTTTGGACAGAGCAACTCAAGACACGGCCAGCCAAAGAAGCAGCAGCTGACGCTTCTCCACTGTTTTTAAAGGAGAAAAGAGGAACCAGATCACGCTCTGCATGGCCTAGAACGCTTGGGTTCTTTTAACACGGTTCACTGATGTAGAAAACAAAACGTGGGGGGAAAACAAAAACGGGACCAGCTCCTGCCAGCTGGAAACACCTACGGATTCCCATGGGGAAGCGCCAGCGCCGCTGGGTGCTGCCGCTCTCACCTAGCCCCAGTGGGGTCCCGCTGGCCACCAGGGAGCCCCATGGAGCTCCACCGGCATCCAGAGGGACCCCGGGTGTTTCCTGGCACCTGTGTAAGGCTGGAGACGGGACACCGGGCCCAGGCCCCCCGGCTCGCGTTGGCCACGGCTGCGAGGGACGCGTTCCCGCCACGCAGCGCGCGCAGGGGAAGGGCCTACCCGTGTGCGTGCGGATGTGCTGGATGTAGTTGTTCTTCCTGTCCGAGAAGTAGGAGCACTGCGAGCACGTGTAGACCTTCCTGGGGAAGTGGTTCCGCAGGTGCTTCTTCCAGTGGTACTCGCTGACGGTGGTGTAGGTGCAGATGGTGCACTTGTAGACGCGCTCGTTCTCGCCCGCCTTGTTGTGGTGCTTCAGGTGGGCCAGGTAGTGGTCGTACCTGTTGGTGTTGTAGCCGCAGCGGTCGCAGCGGATGGGGCCCTTGGAGAAGTCGACCTCCTCGGCGGCGCCGGCGGCGGCCTCGGCCTCCTTGGCCTGCGCCTGCTTCTCGGCGCTCTCCTCCACGAAGAACTTCTTGGCGCTGTGCACGCGGATGTGGTGCACGAACTGCTCCTCGCACTCGGCCTCGTACTGGCAGGGCTTGCAGCGGAACGGCTTGCTCTTGCCGCCGCGGCCCCGCTCCTCGGCGCTCTCCGGCGTGCCGGGCGCCTCCAG